CATGAAGGCGGCAGTGGGGCGGCTGGGCCTGCGGGTGTGCTGGCAGGTGGGGCCCGGGAGCGGGGCTGGGGGGCCGGCAGGAGGGACAGAGGGGAACGGGGCGAGGGGCTGCGAGGGGCTGCGGGGCCACGGGATAAGGGATGTGGGGAGTCAGGGACGAGGGGATATGGGGAGGGCCACGGGACAAGGAGGGCTCCAGGTCGTGGCGTTACGTGTGTTTACAGCTGCCCTGTGTTTGGGAGGTGTGAAGGGAAATAAATCAAGATGATGGTGTTTCTCGGCCCTTGGGCTAACTTCACGGCTTTGTTATTTCGCTTCCTTAGACTGCGGAGTCCGTGCTCCATCCTGCTGGAGCGGCTCGGGCCTGTCTTCTTGTCCCAGTGAGAACGAAGAAGAAGAGGTTTTCTGTCCCCGAATGGGCCAGAGAACTGTCTCCTGAAGAGAAGGAGAGGAGACTCAAGTCTTTGGGGACAGTATTTCCTGACGAACATATAGAACGGACTTTCTACTTGGCCTGCACAGGTGGTAGAAATTCTGCTTTGGTCTCTTCTCAAGGGAAAACTAATGCGAAGCAGCAGCATGGAGCAGTTAGCCTGAGCGGTGTCACCGTGCTGACAGAGTGTCTGCCTGCAATAGACTGAATTATGCACTCTGCCTCCTGGTGAGGGATAGCAGCCATCCTGCTTTACCCCAGAAGTGTGTCACACTTGGCCCCTTCGTACCTAGGGACAAGGAACAGCAAGGGAGGTCACGTTCCCTGCTGCTGAATGCGCCTCCCCCTATGCTGGGCTGTGTGGAAAAGGAGAGCAGAGAGCAGGCACCTGTCGCCGCTGACAAGCTGTGTTAGACTAGCAATTCTTTGCCTGCTCATATTTCGCCTTACAAACATTTTCAGGAAGCGAGGGTGCTGCCTCTTTGTTTCTTTCATTTGGCTGTTTTTGAGCCTCCTCCTGACCTTTCTGCTCTCTCCTGCAGCTGATATTATAGACCCTTATGTCCCTCCTGAGGGCGATGCCCGCTTGACTTCCCTATCCAAAGATGGGCTAAAGCAAAAGATGGAGAAGCTGAAGCAGACCGCTGCCTCCCAGCTGGCGTACGTACCTCCTTTTAATTAGTCTGTGGCGCAGAAGTTTTGCTTGGTTCTGTCTTGCAGTGGTGAGATGATGTGTTTTGTTTTCTACCCGCTTCGTCCATTGTTGCCGTTGTACCACTTAACCAGGGGTCCCTGGTGTGAGAATAAACGCAAGGCACTTGTCCTGGCGTGAATGGACACAGTGTGCATGCATTTTCTTGAGGATTCTTTGGGTTTGCAGCACTATGTCTGTTTTGCAAGCACCTAGAAGTTATGGCTTAGCAGGGAGTCTCCAGTTCTCGGTTGCTCCCTGGTAAAAGCTGGGCTTGAATTGGATAAGGTCGCTGTCATCATCTGAAACATGCAAGACGGTTCCAAATTGTTCTTTACTCACTGTAGAGCTTTTCTTGTCTTTTCAGTCTGCGGAAGATAAAAGATCATGATCCGGATTTCAGCACTAAAACCTTCCCTGAGAAGGCGCAGGAGATATTTATTGAAGCTCACAATTGCCTGGCAAAGTAAGTCCCCTTCTCTGACTGATGCAGTTATGTAGGACCTACTTCTCTTTGCTTATATGCTCTGTCTTCCTTGTCTTTCTAATCCTTGTACCTCCTCTGCAACAAGTGCTTTATCTTGTTCTGCCCCCATCTCTGTGAAGAGCAGAGTGTTGGAGATTTGGTCAGTACCGTCTTGCTTTTGATAATGAAAAGCAGGTTGCAGAAAATGCATCTCGACCTGACCTGCAAAGGAGATGAGCAGCACGAGTGTTATCAGCAGATGAGTGGGTGGTTGGTGCTGTTCAGAATCACGCTGCAGGGGATTGTTTGGATGTGAAATGGTACTCCCCTGGCCTGCTCCACTTTCCAGTAATAGAACAGATTTCAAAACTGCATCGTTCTTGGTTACAATTCCAAACATCAATAAAACATTTAGGTCATAAGTGGCTTCCAAAGGAGGTTGTGTCTTTCCCTGAAGTCTTGCCAACCAGCTTGCGTTCGTGTTCTGATTTCGTGCTGAGATCGCAGCTGAGAATTTTGCTTTTTCTGTTTTGCCGGTAGATTGCGTGTCTTCTGGGGAAGCAGGAATTTGTGAGTAAGCCTCTTTACGATATGTGTGTTCAAGTAACTGGCTGTGTTTCACTTGCAGTTTTAACAAGCAGAAACTTCACTCCCTGGTGACAGAGCGCTGCTACCCAGTAAGTGTTTATCTGAATGTAGCGTGTCCTTGATGTCTTCCATGGTCTCTCAGGCTCTCTAAACCTGATCATCTGTCTCATTTTTTCTGGAAACAGTAAAGACGGAGCTGGGAGGGGAAAGCACAAGTCTAAGTAATAGCTAACGAATAAATGCTTCATTATATATAGTAGCTTGCTTGTCGTTCAGTTCATGTCCTAATTAAGTTGGTGCTTGTTTTTCTTTGTAGGAAATGGTCCGTGGGAACAGGTACAAGACCATCCGGTGGAGTTTTGTGGAGTCGCTGGAGCCTCCGAGAGTGGTTCATGTTCGCTGCGACAGCATTGTGAATCGAGGCAACCTGTACGGCCAGGTGACGGTGCGGATGCACACACGGCAGGTATGTCCCCTTCTGTCCCTTGCGTTTCCCACCTGACTCCACCCTGCTGCCGGCCCAACGCAAGTTCCTTGGCTCTGTTTACAGATTCTGGCAATCTACGACCGCTTTGGGCGGCTAATGTACGGGGGGGAGCAGGTGCCCAAGGACGTTTTGGAGTATGTCGTGTTTGAGAGGTACCTGGTCAACCCATATGGCGCGTGGAGGATGCACGGCAAGATCGTTCCAGAGTGGGCTCCACCGAAGGAGCCCATTATTAAGGTAATGCCCCAAGGAGAAGGCACCAGCACGGCCTGTGTCTGTGACACATGGGTTCCTGCTTAATTCTGGACAAAACCAAAGCTGAGCTTCCTGTAACGGGAGGGTGGTGCATTAATCTGCAAGCAGACCTATTTATTAATGTGGGATTATCAGCCTCTAGCACGTGGAAGGTAGGTAATAGGAGGCTGCTGGCATTTGACACGTGATAATTTAGGAGGTTACTGCTCCCTGCACGTAGCCTGGCAAAGTGGTGCAGGTGCTCTGTCTTCCTGGGTTACTAAAAGAAGGTCCTAGCAAGGAAGGGGGTGAGAACCATAGTGTAGTACAAGGCATGTCCTCCCATTCCCTCTCCGTGTCCTCCCCCGTGCTGCTGCCATCTGGTCATCTTCCTGTGCACGGCCTTTGCGTTGCCAGAACCCCCTGCTCTCCCTTTCTTACGCTCTGTAACACAAAGAATTCCTGTTACAGCACTTCAGAGCTGCTCTGTGTCATGCTGATTTTGTTCCTTGCTTTTTCAGACTGTGATGATTCCTGGCCCAACCTTGGATCCCTCAAAAGAGTTTGAAGAAACGAAGTAGGAAGTTCCAGAGCCTGTACAGAGACAGCAGCACAAGCCACTCTGGTGGGAAGAAGCGGAGAATGTCTGTGGAGGTGGCGGGTTGGATATGGCTGTGCCTTTCCAGTGAGCAGTCAACAAAGTGGCTTCAGAAATGGACTCCAGTCACTAAGAATTTGCCTTTAACGGAGGGAGAGGGGCTGGGGAGAGGGATTCAGGTGAGCTCTGAGAAGAGCTGTACTCTGTCCAAGTAGATTTGGTGTGCTGCAGCTTAACCTCTCTGTGTTTCTGTGAAGATGAGAAGCCTGTTCTCTTCAGGACTGCTCTCTGGGCTAACCTCTGTCCTGAGCTTGCATCGCAGAAGTCTGTCCAGACATGGGATATTTGGCACTTCCATGGGAAATGTCATAAACCCAGTGGGCTTTCATTAAAACTTGTAGCAGTAGGTGTTGGCCCTTTCTTTTCCTGTCCTCTTTTCCTCTGTACTGATTCCCAGGCTTCTTTCTTTTAACAGAAAACAGGGAAGAGCAGCAAGCACACCTTAAATCCAATTCTCCTGAGCAGGTACTGCGATTGGACTCCTGC